CACTGACCCCTCTGCCTCCTGCACTGACCCCTCTGCCTCCTGCACTGACCCCTCTGCCTCCTGCAGTCTCACTTCTGGCTCCATCACTCCACCGGAGCCGCTGTCTACGTTGCTAATGACGTTCTAGTTGTTACATTGGATGGACGTTTTTCAGCACACCCTCTTCAGTATCCACACTGTTGAAAACCTCTCAAAGTCTTCCTTTCCTTCGGCCTCCACCATAGGACACTCCCTTTCCGCCCTCAGGCCCTTCGGGGTGCTCCTTCTGGCCTCTCAGCCCCTCTTCCATCTCCAACCCTCAGTGCTGGGACTGCAGCCTCAGTCCTCCTGAGTGACATGATCGCTTTTTGGAAAAAACCTGTGATGACTACCAAATCCTTATTTTCAACCAAAGCTTTCTCCTACGCTTTATCCAACGACCTGTGGAAGTCCCACAGGTACTTAAAATTTAACACGCCCCCAACTCCTTATTTCCCCCTTTCCCTCTCTAATCTGTTCACCTGTCCAGGTGAGTACCTGCACCATGCACCCAATTGCCCAGTTTTTATTTTTCCAGCTTTCTTGAGGTATAGTTGAAAAAGAAATTGTGTATATTTAAAGCATATAATGTGATGCTTCAAAATATATATACATTGTGAAATATTTACTACAATAAAGTTAATTAATACATCCATCACCATTACTTTTTTTATTTTTTTTATTTGTGATGAAAACACTTAAGATCTACTCTCTTAGAAAATTTCAAGTATACAATACAGTGTAATTAACCATAGTCACCATGCTGTACATTAGGTCCTCAGAACTATTCATTTTATCACTGGGAGTCTATACATTTTCACCAACATCTCCTCATTTCTCCCACTCCCTAGTCCCTGGCAACCACCATTCTACTCTCCGTTTCATATATATGTGTGTGTGTGTGAATATATATATATATATATATATATTCACACACACANTGTTTCATATATATGTGTGTGTGTGTGAATATATATATATATATTCACACACACACAAACATATATATATTCTACATATAAGAGATATCATGCAGTATTTGTCTTTGTCTGGCTTATTTTCACATAGCATAGCGCCCTCCAGTTTCATCGATGTTATCTTAAATTGCAGGATTTCCTTTTTATTGGCTGAATTACATTCCATTCTGTATATACAAACACCTAGGCTGTCTCCCTTCTGAAGGACAGGAGATCCGGATCTTGAACAGATCCCCACACTCCCACATTCATTGCAGCATGAGTCACAATCCGGCAGCGGGCGTTGACATAATTCATCCATCTCATTCAAACTTATTCACGTTTCATCAGTGTTATGTGCACTCATGTGTCTGTGCATTTGTGTGTGCTTTGTTCTATGCAATTCTATCACATGGGTAGATTTCTGTGACCATCGCCACAGTCAAGACACACAACAGTCCATCACAAGGATCCTTTTATAGCCATAGCCACCTCACCCCCTCCCTGCCTCCCTAACCCCTGGCAACCACTAATCTGCTCTCCATCTCTATAATTTTGTCATTTCAAGAATGTTATAAAAATGGAATCATACAGCATTTAACTCAAGTCTGGCTTCTTCCACTCAGCATAAGTCTCTGGAAATTCACCCAAGTTTTTATATTTATCAGTAGTGCCTTCATTTTTATTGCTAAATAGTATTCCACAGTTTATTTAACTAGTCTTTGGTTGAAGGACACCTGGGTTCTTTCTAGTTTGGACCTATTATGAATAAAGCTGCTATGAACAATCATGCGCAGATTTTTGTGTGAACACAAGTTTTCATTTCTGTAAGATAAACGCCCATGAGCTTAATTGCTGGACCTTACTGTAGTTGCCTAGTTGGTTTTGTAAAAAACTGAAAAACTCCTTTCTATAGTGGCTGTACCATTAGTCATGATACATTTTACATTACACATTCCCACCAGTAATATGTCAGTGGTTTGGTTTCTCCGTATCCTTGTCAGCATCTGGTTTTGTCATTATTTTTATTTTCAGCTTCCTTATAGGTGTGTGGTGATATCTCATTGCGGTTTTAATGTGGATTTCCCTGGTGGATAATGATGTTGGACATCTTTTCATGTGTTAACAGTGTCTTTTGAGCTGCTCATCCTCTTATTTATTTTTTCCAGCTTTATTGAGATATAATTGACATAAGTTTTAGGGTTACAATGTGATAATTTGATACATATATATTTTGAAATGATCACAATTAGGCTAGCTAACACCACCATCACCTCACATAATTAACTTTTTCTATATGGGACAAGAACATTTAAGATTTAGTTACTTAGCAACTTTCAAGTATGTAATACAATATTGTTAACTATCATCACCATGCCGTAAATTAGATCCCCAGAATTTACTCCTCTTATAACTGAAAGCTTTTACCATTTGAGCAATATCTTCCCATTTCCCCCACCCAGCCCTTGACCACCACCATTCTACTTTCTCTTTCTATGAGTTCCACTTTTTCAGGCTCCACATACAAGTGAGATCATACAGTACTTGTCTTTATTTGTATAACTCATTGCACGTAGCATAATGCCCTCCAGTTTCATCCATGTTATTGCCAAATGGCAGGATCTCATCTTTTTATGGCAGAATAATATTCCATTTTACATTTAAATCGATTTAACATTTTCTAATGCCCATTGGATGTCATTTTAGCATGAATGCGATGGTTTTTAGACAATGAGAAAAGGCAATTTCTGTCTTGCAAGGATATGAAAATCAGTTCCATTTATATTTCACATGCAGTACTGGAAACATGTTATCCGTAGATACACTCAATGTCATCTGTTTTAGCTATACATGGTTAACTCCATTATATATAAAACTCCACACATATACATGACTCCATTATAGATATAAACATAATATATAATATATTAAAATATTCTATTAGATATATCACATTTTCTTTATCCATTCATCCATCAGTGGACTCTACATTGGTCTATATCTTGGCTAATGCTGTAATAAATATGGGAGTGCAGATATCTCTTAGGCATTCTGATTTCAATCCTTTCGGATATATACCCAGGAGTGATTGGGATTGCAGTTCAATTTTTAATTTTATGAGGAANCAATAAATATGGGAGTGCAGATATCTCTTAGGCATCCTCATTTCAATCCTTTCGGATACCCAGGAGTGATTGGGATTGCAGTTCAATTTTTAATTTTATGAGGAACTTCCATACTGTTTTCGACGGTGGCTGCACCAACTTACATTCCCAGCGTCAGTGCCAGGGCGCCCATTCTTTCTTGATACGACCATTGCATGGGAAAGTCCCCCTTTCTCCAGTCCTGGCTCTTCTGACCCCGAGCTAGATGAGGTACCCTGCACAGAACCCCTCGCTCACCCCACGTAACTTCTAATTTTCTATTGAAAATCTGTATCCCGCCTCAGGTCTTCGTCTCCCAGAGGGCAGAGGCAGTTTTGCTCAGCTCAGGATCTGCAGCCAGAGCAGTGCTGTCACAGATCAAGTGCCATTTACTCAGTGAATGAATAATAAAAACCAGAATGCCTTCAGTGCCAAAAAGAAGCGCTGGCACAGGGGAAGCATGGATTAAGGAGCAGAGACAGGCATGGTGGCTGTCACCCCATTAACCACTCTCCAGGCCTGCCCTGGAGCAGAGCCCGCAGCCCAGGCCTCCGCCGCGCACATGCGCAGCGCTCCC